AAATAATTAATGTATATTATATTATAATATATTTTAATATTTAATAAATTTATTTACCATCTGATTTTTGAAATATTTTAATGAGTTTGTTATTTATGAAATGCAATCTTTAAAACTAGAAGTTATGTATTGTTCTCTTAGTTAAATGTTTTAAACAAGTAATTAACACGTTCTAAACTACTGGAACCCAAACCTAAATCAGTAACCTTCATAGAAACCCTTCTTCCTCAACAGACCCCATTCCAGAAGACTTCAAAGAAAAACCCTTCTAGTTCATGATTTTTCTCGCTGTCGACTCCTCTACGAGAAACTTTGAACCACCAAACTTCTAAAAGCCCCAAATCATAACCTACAAAATCAGAATCTCCTCAATGTTGGTGAAGAAGGAAGTTCAAAGAAGAAGAGAAAAATTTCTTCAAAAGTTTATAAACCTATGGTTAGGCAAAATTGTTCATTATTTTAAACTTTTTAAAGGTTTTTATTCGATTTTATGTTGTAATGTTTAGTTTTTTGTGTACTATAACTTGTATTTTTTTGTGTTTTTAAGTACTTTAAATATATTTGAAATGTTTATTGTCCTAAAATCAAGAATACTGCTGATTTGTTAATTTGGGAGCACCTTTTGTTTAGTGAACTCTTTAATAATGGCAATGGTATTTTATGGAGTGTATTGAGTTTAATTTGTTAGTCTTTCTAAACAACTAGTAGAACAAGGACTGATGACAAATTTTGTGTATGGAAAATAGATTACTACGAAAACATTTGTGCGTTACCATTAGGAAATAGTTGTTTAGTTCAATTCTTAAATAAGTTTTGGCACCACGAGATCATTTCAATCGCTTTCAGAGTGGTATCTCATGGTCTTTTAACATAAAAAAACATTTTGATAAATCTAGTCGTGTACTCAAATGCTTTGCAGGTAACTGAATTTTGAACTACACATGCTAGCTAACCATATTTTCTTTTACATAGTTAAGTGAGTATTTAGAAAATAGGAATTTGTTTTCTAATAGTTGAAGCAAAATTTGGTCATTGACTATAAATTAAGCCTTTCTACTTGGCCTTTGTAACTCAGTATCTGATACATTTGTCAATTATCTATTACGATACAAATGATATAAAGCATATTTTAATTTCAATGGAACTCTCTTTTCCAGTTTGGATGATTACCAGCAAAACATGTTTCATCCATCTTGTTATGTTGGTAAATCAATTTTCCTCTTCAAGTGTTGGTTTGTTGGGGATGCAACATCTCTATCAATCTGAGTCATCTGCCCAATTTTCTCTTCAAGTATCAGTGTTGTGTATTGTACCTTTCTAAATGTTTCTCTTTTACGAATTTCTGCCCCTTCCAACTTATAGATTATTATGTTCTTAAAATGAAATTATATTATATGTTTAATTTTTTGTCACTTTTTTGAAGAGGTAAATGAACGACTAGACAATAATGGCTTAGGCGATTATACCGATCACTATACTAATTGACGAAGAATTAGAATACTCAGACGATGGTGATCATGATGATGATGAGGCATTTATACGGTAGCTGTTGGGTATAGTCCCAACCCCCATCTCATTGTCGCTCGTGGCGTAGCCCATGAATAACTTTCATGTCGTGTCGTGTCATGTGAACTACTCTCAATTTCGCCACAGGGTACCTGTGGTGCAGTTATCTATTCTAGCAAGGTCAAAGTGGTAACTAATTGATAATTTGATATGCAAAGTAATGTTACCAAGTGAAGGTAAAGCATACTGAATTCCATTTTTGTGCAACAATATAAATATAATAAACAAAAAATCAAAGAGAGTGTTATTTATGGGATGTCCTTAGACCTGTGTTATATATTTGATAAGGGTCGCGATCCAAGCCAACCCACTTTATCAGGTTTGAGATACAAATTATTTTGTTACTTAAATACAACTAATTAAAGTCAAAAAATAAAAATTAAGAATCATTTGGCCACATGGCATATCTCAACACGATAGAAAAGGATTGTTGTAACCAGAGGTGGATTTAGTCCTATAGCCAAGAAATGAAATGGCAGTACATGGGCAGTTGACCCGGTCTCCTTTTTCACGATGGCTTTTGACCATATTTAAGAAGAAAAAAAAAATTTAAAAATTAAAAGAAATTCTCCTTTTTATTATCGCTGAATCAGGGGATCTTTTTAATGTCTTTCCGGGTAAAATTGTCTAAGGCTATTTGGAAGATGATTTTTTTCACTTGTTTGATCTTACAGACAAGGAAAAATTGTTGAGAAAGTAGAAAAATGTTGTTTAGACAACTAGAGATTATAAATAATCATAAAAGATATTAAGCAGCTTATGGCAAGTAACCCGCACAAATAAAAATTTTCATAACTCTGTACACTGCCTACAGAAAATGCACTAATTTTTTTTCTTGTCCTCTAGAGCTTAACTGTGGAATATTGAGAAGAAGTTCATAATGGCCACACTGTGTTTAGTTGTGTATCTTGTATTTTATTGATAATAGCTGCTGACTCTGGATGCGAGAACAATTTTTGATTGGATATTATCTTTTTATTATTGATATCTACTTCTAGTAATATGAAAATTGCAGTGTTACTTTGTATATGGTGATGTTAAAAGTGTTACTGAAACTGTATAACAAAAGCGAACAACTACAATTCATTTGGTACATCTATTGAAAACGGCAATATATAGCATTTGATTCTATCTTGATAATATAATAGCCATTGTAAATAATAAATCTGAGAATGATATAACACGGTTTATGGACTATGCAAATTCTTATCTTCGAAGTTACCATTTATGATGAATTGATACCTCTATGGTTCTTCATTTTTCATTACCTTTCCCCCTCACATTATTTTATCCGGTTTAATATTTATCCTTATTTAATATATCTTGCCATGCAGGCCACGACAAACTTTCATCGTCTGGATATCTTCTGGCCTTTAATGTAGCTTCTGCAACAAAATCAGACATCGATCTCGTGCAAAATCTAAGCTGTATGAATATGTATAGATTGTAGTGTCATGTTCTGTTATACAAAACAATCTCGACTTCTACCACCTGTCAATATTTTTATTGGACTAACTAGCATTTGCTAACAATGAAAATTGCTGATGCGCTTTATATGCTATATATTTAGTAATCATGGACCCGATGTAAAGTTTTTAGCCATTTTATTTTTGACAGGAAAACTAGAAACATTGTCATATGCTAAAAGTTGGTTAAATTATACGACTTCGTTATGGAAAAGCATTCACTGTGACTCCACCATCTACATAGATAACTTGTCCAGTGATATAAGAAGCAGCAGGGAAACATAGGAATGCCACCAAAGAAGAAACTTCACTAGGCTGTCCAGGGCGGCGCAGAGGAGTTCGATTGATTAAGCCTTCCAGAATTTGCATCTGATCAGGTGTTGGCTGCAATAAACCGAACTATTGAGACCATAAAACAGAAACGGCAAAATGTGATGCTAATGTACACAATATATATGCATTTACAGCTAAGGCTTTGATCAAGGATGTTTCGATTATCCATGGCGCGACTGCATTTACACGGATGTTATCCTTTGCCCATTCGCATGCCAAGTTCTTTGTTACCTGATTCATTGCGCCTACACAAAAGATGAACAGTAAAATCACATTGCAGAGGTGAAATTTTGATTCATACTACAATTGTTTGCTGCTACCTTTAGATGCTGCATACAAAGAGACAAAAGGAACTGCCATAAGTCCACCCACAGAAGAAATAAACACAATGCTTCCACAACCTGATGCCTTGAGAAATGGGTGTGCAAGTTGACACAAATGATAAGAAGCCTCAAAATTTGTACCCATTATCAGTGAGTAATCTTCAGCTGTGAATTCTGTGGCTTCCTTAAGTCGACTTGTGCCGGCATTGTTCACCTTAGAAATCGAAGTACTTGTTTCAGAAACCTTGCACTGAAGAACACAATCATACGATAAAAAGAGGATAAACTAACCAAGATATTGATCTTCCCATCGAAATAAGTGGTAACAGTCTCTATTAGCTTATCCCGTTGGGCTCGTATTGATAAATCACACACAGACCCTGCTACTCGAAAGCCCTTTTGCTTCCATTCTTCTAAACATTCATCTAACTCTTTTTTATTACGAGAACATGTATACACAACAGCTTCAAAACGTGCTAATTCTTCTACAATGGCATGACTATAAAATATCGAGTCAGATGAGCACCTTTTAGGCTTAGCGTTACTGGTATTAGTACATGAGGAGTATAGTAAAACAAGACTAAATTTAAGTCACATACCCAATGCCTCGAGTACCGCCCGTGCCAAGGGCAGACATGCCCTTGAGAGACCACCTTGCATCACCACCACCTATTTGTTCCATTTAGAATCTGTTTCTCATCAACCAGTTTATTTACGTAAGTAAACAATACAAAAGCTTTTGGACCAAGGACTTTTGGTAAGTTTTATTTGTACAATTTTGAAGATATTCCTAAGAAAGACAAAGGGATTTTCCTGAAGATCCAGAGTTGTCAAATTTTCAAAATTAAAAATCATATCAAAAAATTAAGGAGTAAATAAATTTGCCTACTTCTTACATGTATTTTAGATCAATATTTCAAAAGCTTGGACGCATTAAAATTATACAAGCAAGTAAATTACAAAAGTTGAATTCAGCAATAATCTAAACACTCAAAAATATCTGTTCCCACAGATAAAACTATTAGAATATTACATAATTCTTGAAAGAAAATAAGGACAAAAACAAATTATGCTTACCCGCTATAGATGGAGGCTGGAGGCAGGGTTCCCGAATCCGATCCAAAAATACCTATGGTGGACGATGAATGTGTGGTAGTTGAGATCTCGAGACTTCACAAAAATCTTGAACTATTTGAGCATTGACAAATATCTGGGCCCCCTTGATGCCGACCGGTGCAGCTCTTTAAAATTTAGAAAAAATTGTCCATGACTTAAGGATTTTATTACAACTTGCGACAATTTGGATTAAAATGATTTTAATGTCAATTCAACGGGCCCACTTGCAAAGGGATAAGGCTGCTGTTGTTGTTAGGGGTGGAGCCCAATAGAGACTAGTGCACTCCAAATCATATTTATTCTTTTTTAAAGATTTGGATTATTGGGTTTTTCAATTCAATTATAGGGAAAATTAGTCTCATTACCTCCTAAAAATAACTAATTTGAATAATGCCCTGTAAACTAATCAAGTAACTTAATAACGTAATTAATACTTTCTAAACTATCAAAATCACAAAACCCAATTCAAATTTCCCAATACCCACAAATCTGATAGCATCCATGGCTGTTTTCTTCTTCATGCTTATTGAGAAAATGAAGCTTATTCTTCGGTTCCAATTACTCTTCGGAACCCATTCCAAACGGGCCTTCAGGGCTTATTCTTCTTCATGCTTATTGATGAGTTTGACAATCTTAAGAAAAAATTCCGTGCAAAAAGACAACAAACTGAAGTGACTATGGGCACTCCTGACGTTGGGCGTGTGGGATGGGAGGTTGAGGAACTAGGTATGTTATAATTTTTATTTATATTCTTGTTCCCACCGATTGGACTATGGAAATTTATGCTTATTTATGTGCTTATCATGAGACAATTGGATTTTATAGCCCAATACAATGCATACCTATCCTGTGTGTTGGGTTACTTTGACTTGATTACCATCCAGCCACTCATATATTAATTCACCTGCATAAGTTTGCAGTAATTTGTTGTGCTTTTCCATGACTGCTAGATGTTGATTTTTCCATTTGCTCGATTTGTCACTCTGCTTCTCTTTCCTCGCTCGCTAACAAGTAATAACCATCAGAAAGTAATATTTTACATAATCAAAAGAATTTCTGATACTGTTCGAAAAGTGGTTGTACACACTGCTGTAGTGGAAGGCTTTTGCGAGGTACGTGAGTTTGAAGCTGTGATGAGAATTTTTAAGGAAAAATGAGAGTAATGGGGTCATTTCACTTGCATTCCAAATGTTTGTCAAAATAGTGTGTTACATTTTTATTTTTATTTTTCTGTAATCTTTTTTAGTGATAAACATTATTTTTTAATAAAACTGACCACCTCGAATGACAGCATGAGTCCTCAGGCGACTGAAGAATGATTGATTCCTGATGATGAAATTGATGAAGAAGAGGAGGATATTGAGTGTCAGCACAATGTTCTTGCAAGGAAAAATTCGACTCCAATTGTTACAAAAAGAGCAATCTCATGAATTTCGTCAAAAGATTGTTATCTTTTTTTCAAATTTTCGTCACTTTTTTGAGTTTATCACTTTTTTAAATTTTGTCACTTTTTGAGTGTTTTGTCACTTTTTTAATCTGTATATCTTTTTTTAATTTGTGTCACTTTTTTGAATTGTTACTTTTTAAAAATTTGTCATTTTTTTTAATGTTTATCACATTTGTGTATGATAATACATGAATGTGATCACAATTATGTACCAATGTCACCTGATCATGCTTTGATTATGTCGCTTTTTTTGTCACTTTATTGAATTGATTCCAATGAATCACAATCATGCAACAAATGTCACTTGATCATGCTTTGATTATATCACTTTTTTTGTTATTTTATTGAACTCATTCTAATGTTTTAATTGGTATTTTGTCACTTTTTTGAATTTCCGTCACTTTTTT